TACTCTATCTTTGCTAAAAAACACATATTTAATTTTATGATAATGTAACAAGAAGGTCGATTCTAGGGCGCCCAGGTGTTGGTTTATCTTCAATTATATATTAAAAAATTTAATCTCTGCCATGATAACCGATATCTTATCAAAAAAAGAAATATTACTTTTTCCATTCTCGATAACCTAAATTTTAYGATCAAGAMTTTAACCCCAACCAAGATGGTCCACATTCTGKACTGATATTGATTTTTATTGCGTGGTTTTTGCAACCGCATTCAAGAAGACCAAAATATCCGCAGTAAACGGTCAYTTTTAGTTAATTGTAGTTCGAATTTCGTGCTTTAGCTTATATGAATGATTTTCTAAATGAATTGGCTTTCATTCTCTGCAAAACATTCATATTTCCATAAAATACAAAAGCATTTTCTGGGCCTTGATGCAAGATTTTTATGGAAGAACATTTGAATTGATTCTCTTGTGTCGGAGTATGGAGTTATGTGGTCGGATTAAAGAGGTCTATCTAAACTCAAAGGACTGCCCGCTACAATTAGTCTTATATTGAGAGTAACTCATGGACAATTATAGCTTTTGACGCGGTAATATRTATTCCTCAATCCTTTATCAATGACTACAATATTTTTATTCTAAGTGTATTTGTGCTGAAGAATGTCTGTGATGATTCCGAAAGACWATTGTAAAATATGTTGTTTTTTTATGCTTTGTTCGGGGTGTTTGGTCTGGAGATACTGAAACACAGCGTGAGAGTTGACCCTGATCAACACAATTGGCGCGCGTCAGGAACAACTCGTTAAAATTGCAACACTCGTTAAAATTGCATCACTTGCAAAAAGAAACAAAAGTCGTAGACGTAAATCGTGATAAATATTACACCTCCTTACAAATATTGTTAAACGCGAAAACAAACGAAGTTCAAATCACAAGAGTTMTAGTGACCTATACTCGTCCTGATCGTCCCAATCGCTCGAAAATAGCCCGGTTTTTGGGTTCTTGTTCTCTAGCGAATAAGCAACAATGCAGAACGATCGAGAGGATTGTATAAAGTATTTTGTCGGTCGATGTTTTTCTTGAGGTCACGTTTTGACAATTAAAACCTGTCCGCGTCACACCCTGTTTTGTTTGTTCAATTTGGGTTTCGAAATATGAGGAAACTTGTTAATTGTGTGCGTTTTTTTTTCTTTTTTTTTTCTTTTTTTGTTCTAGACTCATCTCGGTTCGTCATATATTTTTTCTTGGCCAGTTATAAGTCATATATATTTTTTTTCTTGGCCAGTTATTGTTCAAAATAGTGGCAGACCTTCAGGCCTATTTGTTGTCTCTTTATGTGGGACATATACAGACCAAATGTTCATAAGCGATTTATAATGAAATTTGATTGATGACAGTTTTTCTCATGTCCAGCCTTCGCCAACTATACCAGAAGTTAAGAATGATGATATTCATGCATGTTCACATATCCAAATTTGAATTCTTGTACACTCAGTCATAAAAATGTTTTTTTTTTTTAACTAGACGTTTGAACTAAGATATTTTGAGGCTCTTCAGACTACATTATTTGAACCTTGAGTTATATTTGTATACATTTATTTTACCCTTGGATTTTGATCATGGTTAAATTCCATCATCATTATTATCATCATCATCGACATCATTATGATCATTGTCATAAGAGTACAGTGTTTGAACATGAATACATGTATTGTGATCATTATTATTATCATCTTCAATATCATCATTATCATCATTATCTCATCATTTAATTAATCGTTCATTATCTCCTTAGTTATGATCTCCTTAGTTGTCATTGATGTTATTATTTATATTTATTATTATTTATTATGTATTATGTTATTATTTATGTTATTTTGTTATTATTTTTTAACAGTATCCGTACTTAATGTCCCCAATAACAACGGATGGACATGGGCAGATTCTGGGGCCGAGAAGAGGGTATGTTTATGTAAAATACTTTGAAGCAATCTAATCATGGTCCCACTGACAGAAAACCAGGCATCCACCGATACTGCTTTGTATACCACAGTTAATTCTCGTGTGCCGATTGGCTGATTAAAGTGTGTCAATAACGGRAAATTCGCTCTCTGCTATCACCATTACGTCTTCCATCTTGCATGTTAGCACAAAAGATTCAAAAGACGTACTTTTGACTTKTTTTGCATTGAAACGTTTCATTTTTAACAATTTTATGACGTCAAGTGTTTGTGATTAAAAAAGGCACTTAAAGGGACAATGTCAATGGATGACATGCGCGAGTAAACTTGAAAACACTAGGCTAGTGTTTTCAAGTTTATGACTCCAAGTTGGCGCGACATAAATCAGATCGTAAACGTAAACAGATCTAGAATATTCCAAAGTGTGTCAAAAGCACCACAAAATGATTTACCTCGAAGGTTATACGTCCGTTAGAGGTGAGACTGTTACTGCGCATGTCATCCATTGACAGTGTCCCTTTAACAACTCAAAATCGTTTAAAATTGGTCACATAAACTAACAACGGTTTTTTGATTTCCTTTAGTGGTACCCCCAAATCGCAATATCTAATAATGATAAATTTTACATTGGGTGTGATATCGCACCCAGCCAACAACGCGACAACGCCTGGTTAAGAAGCGATGCTATAAAAGTGAACAATACCCGCAGGATCGACGTCACAGTCGAATATTCCGCCACGAACTGTTCTGCAAGAACAAAGTCACTTTATTGCAGGACAAGTTTTGACATTTACGCTCATTTAGCATCAGAGATGTACACACCGGACAAGATTCCAGATCCGTACCTTAATCCCGGTGCATATGAACTTATATCAGCTGTAAGTCCCAAAACTCTGGCCTACCCAAAGATCGAAAAAATGCAGAACGTAGAGACACATCCTTTTGAAGTGAAACCGGGTCATTCGTACGTTTACATAGCGTTGCACTATACTGGAGGCTGCTTTGCTGTATACGGCATTAAAGCTCATTATTAYCARTGCCCTTCGAAGGCACTCTCGAAAAGCCTTATTCAGCTACCGAGGACTATGTCACCTCTGAAGGGGTCCAAGCAAGTTAAAGGACTGTGCGCCGAGCATGCGCAGCCTAAGTCTAACGCTGATAATTTGTATGGATTTTGCGAGGCTGAGGGCAAGTGGAGYGAGGACTCATATAAAGGATTTTGTCTTTGTGAAGCAGGATATCATGAAGTGTATACAAGTAAAGGGACAGAGTGTCAAGGTGAGAAAACCCCTTATTATCATAATTATTATAATTAACCTATTGATCATTTAAGGTTGCTTTCCATTTGTCAGAACTGGCTGGCCAGACCCATAGAAAATGTCATTATATACCATTCAAATTTAGTTGGGAAATTCAAATTTCAAATTCTATCCATTATTATATAGAAAACCTCGAAATGACTGAAAATGTTGACAAAAAGCATAATATATCTCTAAATAGAGCGGACTAGCCGGCCAGTTCTACCTAAATGGAAAGCACCCTAATAGTTGAGTTTCGCGATCTCTTTTATACGCAGTGTTAGCCTCAATTTTGTGCGAAATATGCAGAAATTTAGATAAAACTTGTGAAATTTCAAACTATTTTCATTGTTCTCTATTCTCACGGATCTCTTGCATTTGCACGGGCTGTTAGTAGATAAAAGAAATTATTACATGGTTTTGAGGCTAACACAGCGTAAAACTGATCTCTTAAGGGGTTCATTAGTCAGCGCATGCGTACGCAGCAATGATAGTAGTAGGCATGCGCACAATTAAATGTTGAACCACATGGTCCACTATAGTAATGGCGGACAAGCGTTTAGAAAATGTGTTTATTTTGGGACGATACTTTCCCCAAATTTGGAGAGAAGTTACTTTACGAGTGAGAATAATCATCAAAAGCACGAGTTCACGCAGTTATGTGAGTCTAGTTAATTAATTCATCTTTGTCATTATTTTTTATCTCTAGAATGTCCAAGTGGGACGTTCAAAAATGTTGTCAGCAATAGTAGCTGCTTAACCTGCCCTAAGAGAAGTAAACAAGAAAGTGACAGAACGAGTTGCGAATGTGAGACTGGGTACTATAGATCCGACACGGAAACTATATTCGATCCCTGCACTGGTAAGTAACTTATAAAAGTAAGAAATGATAAYTTTTTTTCMAAWT